AATAAAAATGTATCAGTGACTGTGAGTTTTGCAAACATGTCATAAGAATATTTTATTAGTGTTAATGTTAACTCCACCAAGAATATTTAAATACACTGAGCCATGTGTTCATCTTTAATGTCTGTACTCCTAATATCTACAGAGGAACAAATCGTGAGAATGAGTTTAGTATTCAGCTCTGACTGATTAAACCACAGATTCTTCATTGCTCTTGACAAACTGGTGACACTGAGTGGAGCGGTCGACCGTTTCAAGATGGCGGCCCTACAGCTCGTCAGCGCCAGTAGACGATAGCGGTCAATGCTGGATCTAGTGTTTATATGAGACTATGGAAACTAACCCGTCATTTCTTCACGGAACTATTGTTGAGCGCATTTAATGACGTTTCCTAAACCGGAAGTGTTCGCATTTGTTGTCGGACCGCTCATCGCCATTTTCAAAGCGGCTCAGTTTTACTGCGTATTTCTGGGATTGTTCAACAAACTGGTCTAAATAAAGAGACGAACATTTGAATTCAAGGTAATTACGTTCCCGGATGAGAAGCTGCACGTGAGCTGTCGGTAAACACGCGCTGTCTTTGTTCTGGTGTGGGGGTTCGATTCCGTTGTTTTTATGAAAACAAACATTTCATTCAGCCTTATAGGTTAGTCTCATTGAGCCACGAGGACTCATTTACAAGAGGGACCTGTTGCAGACAAAACATATAAAGTACAGACTATAACCGTCAACTGCAGTAAAAATGCAGTTGAAATTAGATTAGTATATAAAACCATAAATCAGGGTGCCGTGACACAGTGAAAATATTAAAAACGAATATATTTGCATTGATTTTTCTATTGACACAATCAAATGTTTAAAACTCCTTAAGGAAATGAAGGTGGAAATCTACGTTTGTATCTGAATGTGTCAGCCAACTGCTGAACCAAGGCTAGGCTAGCTCTGAACGTTTATCCTGTGAATCAAGAGCAGTGCTGTAGATTCAATTTAAAAATACTTTTATTAATCGCAAAGGTACATTAAATGTAACTCATCATCCTCGTTTCATTAAAGTGTTGTTCATTGTTTTTTACTGTGTATCGCCCAACATGTAATAAGGTGGAATGAAATTGTGTACTCACGGTCCCAGTTACACCCCAACATAACATAAACTTAAAGTATAAAAAACGGTATACAATGATCTAAAATATGCACTAAACATCAATATTGTAATATAATATGTTGTGTTAAACAGCAGCCTGAACATGAGTCTGTTGTGAGCAGATGGGTATAAGTATAGGAGCTTATGGGTAAGAAATCAGCGACATGGAAAATCAGCAGTAGGGCTGCAACAACGAATTGATAAAATCAATAAAAATTGATTATTAAAAGTGTTGGTAACGAATTTCATTATTGATTCGTTGTGTCACGCGATTAAGCGTCTTTCACGGCGCTGTGGAGTTGTTTTGTTCACCTGCAGATTATTGTCAATGCTGGCTGACTGAATAAAGTTAAGAAAAAAAACCTCTTCAGCCCGAGCTGAACAGAGTGAGGGGTAGGCGGACGCAGAGCAGAGGCGGTGTTTTCAAAGAAAATTAAGTAAATTTTACAAATGACCGTCGAGAAGAAGACTGCTCGACCCAAGTCTTCAACGGTGTGGGAGCTCTTGACGCTTCACAAAGATAAAAACGGCGCAACATGCAGCTTTGAAAAGTGGTGGCACAGGAGAACCATGCTGATGAAACGTAAACATTCACTTCACCACTTGCTCTAGCCGAGATCGGATGCTTCCCTCCCTCCCTCTCCACTTTGCTGCTCTGTCTGTCTGTGAAACTGCTGTGAGACTCTCTTGCATTTCTTCTAAACCATAATTATGGACTGTTCTGACCAGTTGGTTCCTCAACTCAATTTACAACATTTCTTCGAAGAGAAGACAGGCTTTAGGCGAGCCGGTTTGCCCTGTTGGCACGCATGCAGCTGGATATCTCATCGACTTGGAAGACTTGATGATGTGTCTTTCTCTGCTGCCATCTGTGTATTTTAAGGACCCGTATTTAATTGGATTTTCGATAACTGGTTCCTGCTATTTTGGATTCAGTTGGTGCTGGTTTTATCTACAATCAAGGAAGTCATCTGCAGCAAATTTGGACCCGATCATTCTGCTTGCCTTTATGATGGCTTGGTTCGTGTCTCGTGTACCCGGACTCAAATGCTTTGGGCTGAATGGATCAGATCTTGGGGATTTTACACAGTCACGTTCCATCGGTGTGACCATGTTATTTTGGACATTTCGGAACCGAGTTGACCAACACAGATTCAAGGTAGATGTCATTAAGTTCTGCCTGTACCCAAAACAACTGTGTGTTTATCTAAGTTGGCTCCCCCTTGGCTGGCCTTGAAGGCCACCTTATCTGAATTCGCCTGGAGAACATGTGATTTGACGCTCACCACACCCTCCCTGAGGGAATTCAAACTGATAACCAGATGAACCAGCTGAATAAACCTGTGTCATCATTTCAGGACTTTTGGATTTTCATAGACGTTATTCTTGGCCATTCCTCGACATACAAACCAGATTACAAAAAAGTTGGGACACTAAACAAATTGTGAATAAAAACTGAATGCAATGATGTGGAGGTGCCAGCATCTAATATTTTATTCAGAACAGAACACAAATCACAGATCAAAAGTTTAAACTGAGAGAATGTATAATTTTAAGGGAAAAATCTGTTGTTTCCAAATTTCATGGCGTCAACAAATCCCAAAAAAGTTGGGACAAGTCCGTTTTTACCACTGTGTGGCATCCCCCCTTCTTCTTTCAACACTCAACAGACGTCTGGGGACAGAGGAGACCAGTTTCTCCAGTTTAGAAATAGGAATGCTCTCCCATTCATGTCTAATACAGGCCTCTAACTGTTCAATCGTCTTGGGCCTTCTTTGTCACACCTTCCTCTTTATGATGCACCAAATGTTCTCTATAGGTGAAAGATCTGGACTGCAGGCTGGCCATTTCAGTACCCGGATCCTTCTCCTACGTAGCCATGATGTTGTGATTGCTGCAGAATGTGGTCTGGCGTTATCGTGTTGAAAAATGCAGGGTCTTCCCTGAAAGAGATGACGTCTAGATGGGAGCATATGTTGTTCTGGAACCTGAACATAGTTCTCTGCATTAATGGTGCCTTTCCAGACATGCAAGCTGCCCATGCCACAAGCGCTCATGCAACCCCATACCATCAGTGATGCAGGCTTCTGAACGAAGCGTTGATAACAACTTGGGCTATCCTTGTCCTCTCTGGTCCGGATGACATGGCGTCCCAGTGGGTATGTTTCCATGGACATAAGTAACCGGATCAAATGGCCTGTCGGAACAAAAGTGTGTCATGTAAACACTCCGTTTGGGTTATTTTTTGTGTATTGGGCGCGATCCAATATAATTTGTGATCAGAACGAAATGGGTGGTTTACGCCGTTCCGTAACCCGATCGGTGCGCATGTAAATGCTTGATCTGTTCGTTTTTATCTGATCGGGAAAAACTGACCTAACTGCGAATGTGCGACTTTGCCATTTCCGCCTGGCTAACGCTAATAATATTAGCATGTCAGGGAAGCAAAACTGGTCGGTGAGCGAAACATCATTTCTACTAGAAACTTTGAAAGAGCTCAAAATGATCTGTATTACCTGTAGCTCAGTAGAGGAGTGCAGTAACGTCTCCACCATCATTAAAACCTATCGTGGGTCCATTTTGGGTGCTCAGATTTGTTTACGTTCACCCGGAAGTAGAACTTCTTTTTCGGTGTTTTTTTTAATGAGAGTTTACCACTCTGCGCATGTCAGTACTGCTGTTCAGAACAAAGCCCGCTGCATGTAAACGCTCGTCATGAACAGATTGTGCCCATGTAAACAATACATTTGAATTATTCAAACAGAACACATTTCAATCCGGTCAAAGAATTCTGCGCATGTAAACATAGCTAGTGTTCCATAAAGAACTTCAAATCGTGACTCATCTGACCACAGAACAGTCGTCCATTTTACCACACTCCATTTTAAATGACCCCTGGCCCAGTGCAAACGTCTGAGCTTGTGGAGCTTGCTTAGAAATGGATTCCTCTTTGCACTGTAGAGTTTCAGCAGGCAACGGCAGATGGCACGGTGGATTGTATTCACTAACAATGCTTTCTGGAAGTATTCCTGAGCCCATTCTATTTCCTTGACAGTGGCATTCCTGTTTGAAGTGCAGTGACGTTTAAGGGCCTGGAGATCACGAGCATCCAGTAGAGTTTTACGGCCTTGGCCCTTACACACAGCAATTGTTCCAGATTCTCTGAATCTTTTGATGATCTTATGCACGGTTGATGATGATAACTTAAAAGTCTTTGCTATTTTACGCTGGGTAACACCATTCTGGTATTGCTGCACTATCTTTCTACGCAACAATGGTAGAATTGGTGATCCTCTTACCATCTTGGCTTCTGAGAGACACTGACACTCTGAGAAGCTCTTTTTATACTCAATCCCAATATATGTACTATATATATATATATATATATATATATATATATATGTATTATTTATATATATATATATATAATGTATTATATATATATATATATAATGTATTATATATGTATATAATATATATATATATGTATTATATATGTATTATATATGTATATAATATATATGTGTATATAATATATATGTGTATATAATATATATGTATATAATGTATATATATGTATATTATATATATATATATATGTATATTATATATAAATGTATATTATATATATATGTATATATATATATATATATATATATATATATATGTATATATATATATGTATGTGTGTGTGTGTGTATATCTAAGTGTCTTTAAGAATCTGTTGGACTCCTGGCAGGGTCCAATGCAGACAT